CAGCGTCTTAAGATAACGGGTTGGTCTGGTCTTGGCTTTCCTAGCCTGTTCAAAACATTTGCGGATGGTACCGCAAACGTTGCTGCGGGAAATGTTGGACCTCATAAGCGCCGACCCGTGCTACAACGAAAACGTGTCGCCCTCGCGATGCTGTTGCAGGCGCATACGACCAAGTTCATGGTGGACCAGCTGAAGTACACCTCTCTGGTCAACACCCGGCGGACCAGCTAGGGCATCTTCCGCTCGACCAACCTCGCCAAAACTCCGGAGAGGTTCGGCAGCTTTGATGACTCGACAAAGTACGGCGGTGCGGTCCCGTCGGAGCACTATTTGCGGGACGTGAGGCGGTTGTATTTCTCGAAACTCCCCGTGCTGGAGGTGGATAGCGTGGATTGGACCCTGGAGGAGTATCACCACCGCTTGATGCAGCGCTGGGACGGAGACATTCTGGGTGGGGATGCTTCGTTTAAGTTTGCGAAGATCATCCGGCTCCGGGCAAAAGCGGGCGAGGAGCGCACAAGACCAGTGTACGGCTCCTTCACAGTCTTCGACGAATATGAGCAGGTGAAAATTTCTCCTGTCGCTGCTTCGTTCAACCATCCCCAAACCCTTCGTGTTGGTGCCATGTTTTCTGGAGCAATCACCGGAAAATTATTCTCGTAGTATGGTGCATGACCCGAAAAACATTTCGTTGTTACACATGTGTGTTCTTATTTGAAGGTGGTCTGGCAGCGTCCGATGAAGACCGGTGCCTTGAGCGAGCTGGCGGAGGAGTTGAAGCTTTTCTTCATGCGATTCGTTCGCAATGGCTTCAAGGTTCCTACTCTGTGGAACACAGGTAATTTGCGAAATGATTGTAGACTTGCTTCGCTTTTCGAGGTTGTAGACCGGTGTCAGGCCTGCTATTTTCGCAGTGACTTGCAGTATTGTCTCCTCAATCCTTTCCGGCCCCGTTGCGTGACGCTTCACTTTGTCAGATGACTGCTGTGATGACCTTCAACTGCTGCAACGCATATTACGCGAGTTTGAGGAGGTAACGGGGATCAGTCTTTATCTGGAAGACGAGGTGGACGCCGGAGTTCAGTTGGAGCTCCTGCCACAGCTGGATATGGAGTTCACCCCTGCCATCGTGTACGATCCGGACGCGGTAGCCGCTGCCTGCGGCTCCCTCCGTCAGAGCATCAGCCAAAATCGAGTGGAGGGAAAGATGATTTGCGGAGCGGACGCAGAGTGGCAGTTTTCACCTCGTGGGCGGAAACCTGTAGCGACCTTCCAGATTGCGGCTTTGAAGGGGCCGTCGTTCCTCTTCCACCTGCAGAGAGGGAGCTCTGGTTTTACGAAGGAAACATTTCCCGCTCCCCTGAAGGCTCTTCTCGAGGACCCCAGCACCATCAAGGTGAGACAACAGCAACAGCACATGCGCGTGAGAGTTGAATGCGATAGATGTTGTATTCATGCAAGTACTGCTCTTGAAAGGTTGGTACGGCGTATTTTAGCATCCGTCTTGTGAGCGTCTTCCTCATGATAGTATTTGAACGCCGACTCGGCGACTCGATGTTTCCTCTGTGCAGGCTGGTGTTGCCATCAACACGGATGCCACGCATATGCTCAACGACTATGGCGTGAAAATGGCGAGCACGGTGGACCTGCGTGTCCTCGCCGTTTCCAAGTTGGTGGTGACATCGTCTCGAACACTCGCCGGCTTGACGGCGTGCCTCCTGGGGAGGCAGCTGCCGAAGGATACCGTCCGATGCTCCCGTTGGGGCAGCGCTCAACTCTCCGTTGAACAGCGAGACTACGCCATCAGGGACGCCGTTGCCTCGGCACTCTTGTACGAGGCCATCCACAAGAACAAGGACCCGATCACATCCGTGCCTTCTTCACATTTCGACCCGGCTATCGGCTTGAAGGTGAGCGCCTTCGCATTGTGGTACCGGCCGTACTTTCCTGTGGACCGACAACAACAGATCATGGCAGGTTCCAAATTTGTGCTGAAACCCAAGCAACAACGCTTGCCCTCGTTCTTTTGCCCTCTGCGCGTACTACAGGTGCGCCTCTACAACGCCAGCCATTCCGCCTGCGTGGCGGTAGGTCACGTGGTGTCCGACGCCACCG